GCCGAGATTTTTAAATTAGTCAACCTCCTCAAGCGCTTCACTTACCTGTTGCACTTGTGGATCAGTGGTACCTCATACCTTTTGACTTCCGGGCGTTAATGATGAGACTGGTTTCGCATTTGTGTCGCATACTGCAGCCGTCAGGTGACAGAGCCCGTTCCCCGTACTAATTATCAGAACCATAATATCTGCGTACTCAAGGTCGGAAAGGTATATGAGCTGATATCTTAAACTGCGTGGTCTATGTAAAATGAATCCTTCGTCTTTAGCCAGGTCATCCCGTCGACTTTGATAGCAGGCTTGGTTCCTGCGTCCAAAATTAAAACGAATGCGTTGGTACCTAGTAGCATTTCACGATTTTCCACATCGTTGAGCGATGTACTGAATCAAGTTTAGCCTTCGAATCGAGGAAACTGGCAAATCAAGGCAAATGGCAAATCGTTGGCATTGTTAAAGAGTGAAAATATGGTCAAGGGAGAAATACCCTGTCCTGAAACCTGCTTGATTTGGGCGGAGTCTCCTGTTGACTGACTGTCAGCCTTTCCAGGATGATCCAGCAAATCATTTTTCCGGGAGTTGACACTTCCTCTCAGAAAGCATGTCTGCTTTACCTTGTTCATTCTTATTGCATGCTGACTTTATGGTCGGCGTCAGCCGTGGTTTCTTGGTTCCCATATGTTAAACTCGCGAGCATGGGTAAAAGCTTTCTGTTTTGCGTAACAGGATCAGCTTCCTTTTTTAACCTTTACATTTAAGACGAGCAGATCTCTACCGGGAAGATAATATTCATTATTTCCGTCATCCTGCTATTTATCCACCTTTGTGCGTCTTTAACATAACTCGTACCAGTGCTTACGTACGGCGTTCAGTCGTCGTTCGTGGTTTTTCGTTAGAGTAGTAGACTGCATGTCATATAGTATTACCGACTGAGGGACGGTACATGCAGATTTATGTAGACGGATTTTATTAGACAGAATATTTCACAGGCTACTGAAAGCTCTTTAAGCAAGGTTGCCCTGAAATGAAACAAAATTTGGCTTATACCTTTGCTGCTGCTGCCGCTGCTGATGGAATACGTTTATTTAAATTGGCTAGCTCCTCCATTATTTTACCTTTCAATTGCACTTGCAGTTCTGTCGTAGAAAGAAGGTTCCTTTCACTTTGTGCTTGTCCCTAAACCACCTGATGAATTGCCAGCAAGACCGCGGCGCAACGCAATCGCTTGAATTACGTGCCAGACTGGTATAGCTGTAATAGAGATCTGAGTACCAGTGTTATTGCTTTTGTGGAACTAGACTTTTTTGGATATCGGTGGTTGGCGACATCAGATCTTTATATCACTGCTCTGGAGTTTGCGATTTGCTTAACAGGAAGAAGTTCTTAAAGTGTCTGTTACTCTGCACCAAGCATGTGATGTCTCATCTGTTCATAACTTTATGGGTGCTGTCACAATACTCATTTTAGACATGCGCAAGTCGCATTTGGAGAGGTTCATCTGAGACATCTGCTGTTTGAAGATGATACTGTCATGTGTGCCTCCTCTCATGGTGACTTCCAGCGGGCACTTCTCAGGTTCGCATCTGTATGCGATAAAACGGATAAGGAACAACCTGACAAGAACCTGTACTTGCGTATTCCAAAGCAGGCCAGGCAGTGTGCTCTTGAAAATATGAAGTGTTGTTGAGACAGAGAAGAAGTTTAAGTACCTCTTATATCATTTTCGATTAGCGGCAAACAGGGTATAAACAGAGAACGACAAATTTGCCGGGTTAGCGTTGTAATATTGCAACTAAATCAGTCTGTGGTGGCGAAGAAGGAACTGAGCAGAAGTGCAAAGCTCTTTTCATCAATCAGTCTGTATAGAATGCGATCCTGAGTGAAAAAGGCAAAATGAAGTTTCTTCGAAGAATCGCTAATTTAAGTTTCAGGACGTGGCAGTTCAGAAAGGAGAAAGAAAGTTTGCAACCGATGGAATGCCAGTGTTCCTTATATTTTCACGTTGGGACAATTTGAGACGTCCTTCTTTTAGTGAATTTAATGTTGGTACTGATCTGTATTTGCATGTCATCACAGCCAGGAGTTCCTTATTTTAAAGGCAGAGTCGACAACAGCTGTTTGGCGAACACGTGAGTGGTCTGTTTTCTTCCCACATGATGGTGTTCATTTATCATCCTTGAAAGAAAGAAAGTTTATCAGAAAGCGGGCGACCCTGACCTCCTCGAACCCGGGACCTTTTGGGAAATTCAATACTCTAGTATTTGTTTGTTTCGCAGTCAGTTAGCCCCTCGGTCTTCAGGACCCTATATCTCTCTCAAGTTGCAGAGGGGGCGACGGCTTCAACAGGACTGTCACACAGTACCGGTTGTCGATCAGATCAACGAGCTTTAACAAATATTTTTCAAGACTCGATGGTGAACTGTTATTATAACAGTCGCATAATCATGTCCTAAGTTTGCTGTCGTTTGCAGCGTATCATACAGCATATTAGCGACATGTCTTACGAGTCTTTCTTCTGTCATACCACATGTTCAAATAACCGTTATTTTGATCGTCCGATTTGGAAAGTAAATATCTCAGAAGTGATTGTATCGTGCATTCATGTGTTCCAATTTCCTGCGTAGCTAATCGCATCAAAAGTTTATGAAATAACTTGATTTCTATCTATATACTCCCCTGTCTAAACTGAGAAAGCTCGTTTTCCAGTTATCTTATTTCGATGTTTTAATCAAGATTAGATGTAATATGTCTAGGTGTACCTTAGCTATACTATACGATGTCTGCTGTGCCGTGAATGATTGGCATCGTGTAATTTGCAAA